AGCTTTGCTGGACCCCCCCAGCAGACCAGGGAGACCGGGAGAAGCTTTTCTCGCCCCGGAGGATACGGGTGGCGACCCGCCGCCCTTGAGCTCCGGGGCGAGAAAAGCCCCATTCGTAAGTGCGGATCCGACATAAGTCGGATCCGCGTAAGTCGGGGACTGCCTGTATACTCTTATTTTTTCTTTGCTTGATTAGAGACCAATGTAAATCAATGAAAACTTACTTATTTTCCTCCAACATAGCACATCCTCAGGGCCAGATAGATAGCACATGATGCAGCCCACGGTAGTAAATAGGTTGAGAACCACTTAGCTTAATCTCTCTCTCTCATGTTGGCAGGTGCAGCTGAGCCAGAGGAGAGGGGGAAGTAATTTGCACTTGATATAGGGTATGTCAACACATCAAAGTTATTACCAAATAACAGCCGTTATTTCAAAATAACTTTCCTAGAGTCTACACAAGCCAACCACTATTTCGAAATTAAATCAAAATAGCGGAGGGCTTATTTTGAAATTGGTAAACCTTATTTCACAAAGAATAACGCCAATTTCAAAATTACTATTTTGAAATAAGTGCGGTGTAGACACTTATGTTGAAATAGGGGGCCTCCAGCCTTCCCCGGGTACCCTGATGACCACTTTCCAAGGGATAGACTCTGGCCACAGTGCCTATGCCATCTCCAAGCCTGCCAGCCCAGAGCCAGCAGCCACTGCCCCTGACCCAGTGGCCCCAAAACATGAGCCAGCAAGACACTGGCAGCCAGCCCTCCACCACTCCCCAGAAGCTATCCTGTAAATAAATGTTTTCTATACTAGATGACTTAGCAGAGGTGGCTGTTAGACCAGAGCTACAAAAAGAGCTCAGGAAAAGTGTACAGCTTGCAGTTACTCTTGAGATGAAATTGCTCGATATTTTGAGGTAAATGAGACAGAGGAGAAAGCTTAGATATATAGGCTACGTCTACACTGGCAGCTTCTTGTACAAAAACTCTTCCACAAGAGAATGTCTACACTGCCATGTGCTATTGCACAAGAGATGTTCTTTTGCGCAAGAGCCTCCATGGCAGTGTAGACGTTTTCTTGTGCAAGAAAGCTCTGATGGCCATTTTAACCATAGTGATAGAGATGCATCTGTGTTAGTCTGGACTAGCTGAAACAAAAAACAGGACTATGCAGCACTTTAAAGACTAACAAGATGGTTTATTAGGTGATGAGCTTTTGTGGGCCAGACCCACTTCATCAGATCAATAAGTGGAAGAAAATTGACACAACCATATATACCAAAGTGATACAATCAAAAAAAAAGTGAACACATATAAAAATGACGAATCAGATTTAAGAACAGAGGAGGAGTGAGGGGGGAAGGTTAGTGTCTGTGAGGTAATGACATTAGAGGTGATAATTGGGGAAGCTATCTTTGTAATGAGTGAGATAATTAGCATCTTTGTTGAGACCCATATATAAAGTGTAGAATTTAAGCATGAATGATAGTTCAGAGACTTCCCTTGAAGTCTGGAGTTAAAATCTCTTTGAAGCAATATGCATGTTTTAAGGTCATTAAGAGAATGGTCAGTCTGATTAAAATGGCAAGCAACATTTTTCTCTCTTTGAAACAGCCTGATGTCTGTTTTATGTGCATTGATTCTTTGGCAAAGTGTCTGAGAAGTTTGTCCAACATACATAGCAGACGGACACTTGAGGCACATGATGGCATAAATTATATTTCTGGAAGAACAGGAATATGTGTTTTTGATCTTCTAACTGACATGGTTAGGGGCTTTTTGCTCAAGAAATTCATGTTGCCTGTCTACACTGGCCTCTTCTGGAAGAGCTCTTGAGCAAGAGGGCTTATTTCTCGTGGCAAGAGGAATAACTCTTCCAGAAGAAGTCCTGTTTTACAACGCTGTACTGTAAATTTACTTCTGGAAGAACACTCATGCAGTGTAGACAGCTGCCCAGTTTTTGCGGAAGAACAGCTGTTCTTGCACAAGAAACTGCCAGTGTAGACGTAGCCATAGGCTATGCTTTCCAAAGCAGAGTGAAAAGAAATCTAAATTCCTCTACTTACAAATCAGTATAAACTTATCACAATCAGCGAGGAATTATGAAGTACGGAAGGAACTATTTATATAAAAATATTACCTGCTAAGATACATTGATGTAAGTGGAAAAATACTAGAGACTACAGCACAAAATGCTAGAACTGTTTTGGTAAATTATACGGATTAGGTAGCAAGATTAATCACAGCTCAGCAAAATAGGGTATACATTTATGAAAGACAAAAATCTGAGCGCAATTGCTTAGAAATCTTTGCAGACTTACCATTCATATTGTGTAATTTTTCTGCAACAGATTAAATCAATTCAGAATATGCATTTTTCAGTGGAAATTTGGTTAATATATTGCAGTTGATTAATTAAATTATTGATGTAATTCATGGCATGAATCAGCCTTATTTAATGTGCTATATATGTTACTTTAATACTTATGTTATGTTATTCATATATAATCACTATTATACTCTCTAACTCCCACTATTTCTTGTACCATCAAGCTAAATTCAGTTAATGGTTCACAGTATTGGATCACTGTTTTCATAAAATGTTCATCAAAGTTTATGCTATATTTGAAAAATAATTAAAGGTCTAAAAAACATGGCCTGTGAGAATAGACTGAAATAATTGGATTTGTTTAGTTTGGAAAAGAGAAGACTGAGAGGGGACATGATAGTAGTTTTTGAGTACCTAAAAGGCTGTCACAAGGACGAGGGAGAAAAATTGCTCTCCTTGGCCTCTGATGACAGGACAGGAAGCAATGGGCTTAAAATGCAGCAAGGGAGATTTAGGTTGCACATTAGGAAAAACTTCCGAACTTTCAAGGTGGCTAAGCACTGGAATAATTTGCCTAGGGAGGTTGTGGAATCTCCATCACTGGAGATATTTAAAAGCAGGATACACAAACATCTGTGAGGGATGATTTAGATGGTGCTTGGTCCTGCCCTGAGGGTGGGGGACTGGGCTGGATGGCCTTGCGAGGTCCCTTTCATTTAGAATATTCTATGATTCTATGAAATTTGGCTTTTGTCATATCAAATGCTATGCCTCCCTACACTGTTATCTTCTTTTGAGGAAATAACTACATTATATTTATTCTGATAGGAATATTCAAAATATCCCCCCAAAATCCTGCAATCTGATCCTTACATGTTCTAACTTAATAGACGTCCCTGGAATTACAATAAGGATGACTTTCACCTGTGCAGTACAGTGGACTATACCGAGAGAGAGTCGTGATCTTGTTAATACATGTAAAGTAAATACAGTTTTATCAGATGTTCCTGTTTGCATTGGCTTGATGAGAAGGCTACATAAATCAATAGTAACTCACCTTCTTCCCGCTGACCCTTGTCTGCAATGTAAAGACACAGTGTTGAATACATTTTTGCTCTCTTCTATAACAAATATTCTGCAGGGTGGGCAGTTTAGTGTAGGTAGTGGTTAAGTGTGAACATAAAGCAAAGCTGGCCATTGAGAGGTTATGACCTTAGATTTCACACTGGCACTCCATAAAATCCAAAGTCAAATTCAAGATCAAAGCTTGTCTCTAGAAAAGCTTTTAATATGTGCATAAGATGATAAGGAAATACCTTACAGCAAAAGCCCTCTTGACAGCTCACATAAGAAAGGAGTAAGTGAGGCTCCAAGAATACTAGGTTTCTGTCTCTGAATCAGGTCAGAAGACCTTAGCTCTCACGAGTTCCAGAACAAGTGAGGCTTTCCCACAGAAACAAAACAAAGAAAGAAAAAGAGAAAGAAAAAGTGTATTTTATAAGTTAGATTATACAGATAGTTTATTACAATAACTTATGTTCCACTGCTTGCTTCTGTGATGCTCTGAGTTTTCTCAACTAACATTTTACCAAATCCTTAAGTTTTATTCAGGTGTTACAAATCATGGAGAATTCTCTGAAAATATCTGCTCAACATGAAGCTACAGTAAAAAAAAATAATTATTGAATGTTAGGAACCATTAGGAATGGAATAGATAAGAGAACAGAAAAAGAAGAAGTACAGTGTCCCCGGAAGTCATGTATGCTAGACCTGACATGCCGTCAGCCGCCAAGCACCTCCTGCCTTCATGCTCCTGGCCTGATAGGCCCTTACCTCACCTGCATGCCTCTGAACTGAGTGTGACCCAATCTCTCCTGAGACATTTAGGCACCAGCTGTAAAGTGCCTGCTTTAAAGCAGACATTTGGCCTTGCATGGAACAGTTCTCCATTGTCTTTACGAAGACATTCGGTATACACTAATGGGGTATGTCTAGACTACATGCCTCTGCCAACAGAGGCATGTAGATTAGGCTACCCAACATAGTCAATGAAACGGGGATTTAACTAATCCTGGCTTCATTAAAATAAAAATGGCCACCGTACTGTGCTGACGATCAGCTGATCCAGCATAGAGCAGCAGTCTAGATGCGGATCAGTTGACAAAGGAAGCCTTTGTCTACTGATCCCTTATGCCTTGTTTTCATGTTACTTTTCATGTGAGCAAAATGAGTTTTGACCCAATTTAGCATTTGCAAAATTAAACCGATGAAGTGAAACATTGATGGTGGTTTTGTTTGATTGATTTTTATGCCTTCTGTATAGTAGATTATTGAGAGACTGGTATGGAAAACTGACATGACAGGAGACACATTTTCACAATAAATCAATAGAAAAGGAAAAGGAAATCTGAGTGTTCCTGCTTAATAATGAGGTCAGACTCACCAATTGCATTCTGGAACTGGTCTGGAAAAGATTATGTTTGATCAATATACATTGTTCATGTTACAATTTGTTAATTACATTTTAAATGTCATGAACATCATAAATTAGCCACTTTCAATGATAAATGATATATGGATAAATAACACTTGGACTGCCCTGGGCCCACAAGACATAGCAATTACTGTACATGGCCAAAATGGCAGGATGAGAAAACTGAAGGCTTCCCACTTGAATCTCAGTTACAAACACATCAGATCCCCCCATATAACAAGCTTTACATCGATTCCAACACCAGAGGGGCTCAGTGTCGTCATTCAGTATAACCACCTTTAGAACACAGGTCAGCAAGCTGTTAAAAAAAAACAAAATAATTCCTAGAGCAACGTTTTTAGAAAAACAACCAATCTTGATTTAGAAAAAGTCAGTGATTGAGAATCTGCTGCAACTCTGGTAAATTGGTAAATTATCCACTGCAACACTTGGTAAATTATCCCAATGATTTATTACCGCCCCTTAAAAATATCCCCTTCCTGTAAGTTAACAAAAATTAACTTACTTTTGCATTTGTCAAAAGAAAGTTTGATGGTCACCACCATAAGCACAAATAAGCAGGGTAAGACACTAACTGAAAAACAGAACATATTACGGTCACCACAATGTATCCCCAAACATGAGGTATTTCTTGAGGTTTTACAGTTTTGGTCCTAAACTAGGAAAGATTGTTTCCCATTCTCTCCAGTACTTGAGATGTTACCCTGGGAGCCAAGGAGAGGGGAGAACCATTTTGGAAGATTCTTGGGTGAGCCACAGTAAGGCCAGGACTGGCTGCAGTGAGCTTATGTCCCAGGCCTGCATGCAGTGTCCCTCTGAGAACTGGTCTCTGGGCTCTTGGAAACAATTTCCCACAGCTTGGTCCTTTCTCTCTTCTAGGCAACTCTCAGTCTCTAGAGTTTTCTGGGGGAAACTCCCCACCCCATCAGGTTAAGGTCGCCTTTCAACTTCCTAAGGGAAAATCAGTAACTATATGCATCTAGCCCAGAGCTATCACATGCTGTGAACAGATTACCAACCCTCCTGGTTCCACCAGGAGCCTCCCAGGATTGGGCTCGATCTTCTGTAGGCTTCTGAATCCAGTCTGGGACATCAGAAACTAAATGTCACAGAGGGTGTAGGGTAAGTTCCCTGCCTCCCCTGGACATGTATATTATTCCAATGGTTAATTACTATCATTGTTAGACATTCCGGCTCGGGGCTTTGCCGGAGAAAAGCACCAGTCTAGACAGGATCTTTCGGAAAATAAAGCCTTTTCCGAAAGGTCCCGTATAACTGATTTATTCCTGACGTTCTACTGTATGAAATCAGGGCTTCTTGCGCAAATACTGTGATGCTCCTGCTCAGGGATAAGCCCTCTTGCACAAGTGTTCTTGTGCAAGAGGGCCAGTGTAGACAGCAACGTTAATTTCTTGCGCAAGAAAGCCCGATGGCTAAAATGGCCATCGAAGCTTTCTTGCTCAAGAGAGTATCTACACTGGCACAGATGCTTTTGCACAAAATACTTTTAACGGAAAAACTTTGTATGTAAACCAAACCATAATAAATTAACTTACTTTGG